GGCGGGTCCCCAATATACTTCCGGAGCATATAAACATGAAATACCAGATGCACACTCGACAAGCTAGGTGGCAAAGCAAGCTCATAAGCCACCTCCCCAATCCTCCGAAGTACCTCACAAGGCCCAATGAACCGAGGACTCAATTTACCCTTCTTCCCAAATCTCATAACACCCTTCATGGGTGAAACCTTCAACAGAACCTTCTCACTAACCATGTAGGACACATCCCGAACCTTCATGTTAGCATAACTCTTTTGTCTCGACTGCGCTGTACGAAGCCTCTCCTAAATTACCTTCACCTTTTCTAAAGTATCCTACACCAAGTTTGTCCCCAATAGCCTAGCCTCACCTAGTTCAAATCAACCAACTGGAGATCTACACCGCCTCACATACAAAGCCTCATATGGAGCCATCTAAATACTCGACTGGTAGCTGTTGTTATAAAATAACTCTGCGAGCGGTAGAAACTGATCCCATGACCCTCCAAAATCAATGAAACAAGCACGCAACATGTCCTCCAATATCTGAATAGTGCGCTCGGACTGTCCGTCCGTCTGAGGATGAAAAGTTGTGCTCAACTCAACCTGAGTACCCAATTCTCGCTGCACAGACCTCCAAAACTGCGAAGTAAACTGAATGCCCTTATCTGAAATGATGGAAACTGGGACACCATACAAACGAACAATCTCCCGGATATAGATATCTACCAACCGCTATGAAGAATAGGTAGTACACATAGGAATGAAGTGCGCAGACTTGGTCAACCGATCCACAATCACCCAAATAGCATCGAACTTCTTCAAAGTCCATGGGAGCCCAACTACAAAGTCCATGGTGATACGCTCCCACTTCCACTCTAGAATATCCAATTGCTGAAGCAAGCCACCCGGTCTCTGATGCTCGTATTTCACCTGCTGACAATTGAGACACCGAGCTACAAATCCCATAATTTCCTTCTTCATTCTCCTCCACCAATAATGTTGTCTCAGATTCTGATACATCTTCGTGGTACCCGGATGAATGGAATACCGCGAGCTGTGGGACTCCTCCAAAATCAACTCTTGAAGCCCCTCTATATTAGGCACACATACCCGGCCCTACATCCTCAACACCCCATCATCACCAATAGTCACATCTTTGGCATTATCGTGCTGAACTCTATTATTAAGGACAAGCAAATGAGGATCATCATACTAGCACTCTCTGATGCGATCATATAAGAAAGACCAAGAAATCACACAAGCCAATACCCGACTAGGCTCTGAAATATCCAACCTCACAAATCGATTGGCCAAGGCCTGAACATCAACTGCAAGAGGTCTCTCCCCAAATGGAATATATGCTAAACTCCCCATACTCACTGCCTTTCGGCTCAAAGCATCAGCCACCACATTGGCCTTCCCTGGATGGTACAAAATAGTAACATCATAATCCTTTAGCAACTCCAACCACCTCCGCTGCCTCAAATTGAGATCCTTCTGCTTGAACAAGTGCTGGAGGCTATGATAATAAGTAAACAACTCACAAGACACACCATACAAGTAATGCCTCCAAATCTTCAACGCGTGAATTATGGCAACCAACTCCAAATCATGAATGGGGTAGTTCTTCTCATGGGGATTCAACTAAGGAGAAGCATAAACAATACCTCTACCCTCCTGCATCAATACACACCCAATAACAACTTTCGAAGCATCACAATACATGGTATATGAACCTAAAGCTGATGGCAAAACTAACATCTGAGTTGTGGTCAAGGCTGTCTTGAGCTTCTGAAAGCTCCCCTCACACTCATCTGACTATACAAATGAAGCACCCTTTTGAGTCAACTTGGTCAAGGGCGATGCAATATATGAGAATCCCTGAACAAACCGACAGTAATAACCCGCTAAACCAAGAAAGCTGCAAATCTCTATGGCTGAGGATGGTCTGGGCCAACTCTGAACCACCTTTATCTTCTTTGGATCAACCTGAATACCCTCGCTGGACACCACATGCCCTAAAAAAAGCCACTGAACTGAGCCAAAACTCACACTTGGAGAATTTTGCATAAAGCTTCTCCTCCCTCAATCTCTGGAACACAACTCTCAAATGCTCCGCGTGCTCCTCCTGACTACGCGAATACACTAGGATATCATCAATGAAAACTATGACAAACGAGTCGAGATAAGGCCAAAACACGATGTTCATCAAATGTATGAATGATTCTAGGGCATTGGTCAGCCCAAAGGACATCACCAAGAACTCATCATGACCATATCGGGTCCTGAAAGCCGTCTTAAGAATATCCGAGTCCCTGATTTTCAACTGGTGATAACCTGAACGGATATCAATCTTGGAGAACACTCTCGCTCCCTAAAGTTGGTCGAATAAATCATCAATATGAGGCAAAGGATACTTGTTCTTAATTGTTACTTTGTTCAACTGCCTATAATCAATGCACATCCTCATAGTGCCATCCTTCTTCTTCAAAAAATAGAACTGGCGCACCCCAAGGCGACATACTAGGCCGAATGAAACCCTTATCGAGGAGCTCATGAAGTTACTCCTTCAACTCCGTTAGTGCCATACGATATAGTGGAATAGAAATGGACTGAGTGCCCAGCACCAGATCAATACCAAAATTAATATCCCTATCTGGTGGCATGCCCGATAGGTCTGTAAGAAACACATCGGGAAATTCCCTTACAACTGGAACAGAATCGATATTGGGAGTCTTTGTACCGAAATCCCTCACAAAGGCTAAATACGAAAGAAAACTCTTCCCAACCATACGTTGGGCCTTCAAGAATGAAATTACCCTACTGGGAACATAATCAGTCGAACCTCGCTACTCAATCCGTGGCACACCCAGTATAGCCAATGTCACTCTCTTAGCATGACAGTCCAAAATAGCACGACAGTCCAAAATAGCACGACATAGAGATAGCCAATCCATGCCCAAAATAACATCTAAATCCACCATACATAACAACAAAATATCCACTCGGGTCTCCAGACCCCCAATAGTCACCATACACGACCGGTACACAGGGTCTACAACAACAGTATCACCAATTGGAGTAGATACATGAACAAGTGAAACAAAAGACGAAGTGTATCCAAATAACGAGCAAAGTATGATGACACATAAGAATAAGTGGAACCAGGATCAAATAATACATAAGCTTCTCTGTGGCAGACTGAGACAACACCTGTAATAACAACATCAGAAGCAATAACATCGGGTCTAGCTGGAAGTTCATAGAAACGGGCCTGACCACCACCTGATCGACCTCCCCCTCTAGGATGACCCCTAGCTGACTAACCTCCACCCCTAGCTGGGTGGGTGGGTGGTGGTGAAGTAACCGGCGCTAAAGACGGTGGTTGACTCCTCTGCTAAGATGAACCCGTAAGATAACGAGGACACTACCTCCACATATGACCCATCTCTCTACACTCATAGCAACTCCCTAGTGCTGGCGACGGGGATTGAAAAGAACCCGTAGCACTGGAATGACTAGCAGATGCACCTGGCATAGAAGAGCCCTAAACTGATGGAGCACGGGACGAACTTTGAGCTGGAAGGGCACTAAGTGATGACTGGCCCTAATGAGAACTGTGAGAACCATGACCCGATGACGCCCCACGATAACCTGGGAGAGTTGGCTGAGCATGCCTGAATGGACGGCCTCTGTCGTGCTGAAACTGACCTCTCGAAGGAGCACCACCATAACTACCAGATCCTCGAGGCCTCTTGGCCTCCCTCTCATCTCGCTCCTAGAGACGAACTCAATCTCACGAGCAATGTCAACAACCTCCTCAAAAGTAGCACTAAACACCCTCTCCCTGGTCATGAGAATACGAAGTTGATAAGTGAGACCATCCACAAACCTCCTAATCCTTTCTCTAACTGTCGGAACCAACCAAATAGCATGATGAGCTAACTCGGAGAACCTCATCTCATACTGCATCACAGTTATCTTTCCCTGACGCAACCACTCAAACTGCCTACGCAGCTCCTCTCTGCGAGACTGTGGCACATACTTCTCCAAAATGAGAACGGAGAACTGCTGCCAAGTAAAGGGTGCTGCACCAATAGGCCTACGCCTCTCATACGCCTCCCACCAAGTGAAGGCAGCTCCAGAAAACTAAAAAGTAGTGAAAGTGACCCCGCTGGTCTCTAGAATACCCGTTGTACGAATAATCCTCTGACACTTGTTTAAGAAACCCTGGGCATCCTCGCCCTCTGCACAACTGAAAGTTGGAGGTTGAAGTCTACCAAAGCTCTCCAACATGCGCTGCTCATTCTCTAGCATGGAACGAGCTACATAGTCCTGAGCAGCTACAACTGGCTGGGTCGGATGTGCCCCTGGTGTCTGAAGTCCCTACACGACCTGCTCAGGTGTGCGAGCGGCGGGAGTCTGAGTGCCTCCCCCGGCCTGAGAAGTAGCTGCGACTGTAGTACCTGAGACCGCTTGAGCTAGACCAGTGCATACTGATAGAATCTGAGCCAAGGCCTCCTAAAGACCCTGAATAACAATAGGCACAACTGGTTCCTGAGCTGGTGCTGCTAGAGCGTCCACAACTGGGACCTGATCCTGAAATGGGCTGGTTAGTGGATCTGCAGGCGCTACCCTAGCTGCTGGGCGGGCCATACCCCTGCCGCTACCACGACCGCGTCCTCGGCCTCTAGTAGCCACAACTGGTGGTATTGGTGGTCATCCATCCCGACCGGTAGTGCGTGTCCTCACCATATGTGAGAGAATAGAATAACAGAAGTTTAATACTCAGATCAATAGATTCGCACGACAAGAATTTCAAGAATATGAAGTTTTTCCAAACGTTCTGCAGCCTCTCGAGAATAAATACAGACGTCTCCGTACCGACCCGGGAGACTCTACTAAACTTACTCATGACTCGTGAGACCTATGTATCCTAGGCTCTGATACCACTTGTCACTACCCTAAACCCAGACTCGGTCGTGATGGCGCCTCTCGTGAAGACAAGACTAGCCGACACAACAACCAATTCATTTTTAAGCAATTAAAAGGGCACAATAACATAATTTAATCCCAAATAAACAGTGAAATAGTAAAAGTTGCGGAAAAACCAATACAGCCCGACATCGGGGTATCACCAATCATGAGCATCTAACATAGTCTAGGAATACAGAAAAGGGACTACACAGTCTAGTACCAAATCCAATACACGGGAAAGAAATAATGACAAGAGGGAGAAAACACTGGGTTGCGATCGCCGAGCAGCTACCTAGTGGACTCCGAAATCTGCTGGAAGCTATCAACCCTCGCTAGCAGAACCTGGAGCTCCTGAATCTGCACACAGGGTGCAGGGAGTAAAGTGAGTACTCCAACTCAGTAAAGTGAGTAATAATAATAAATAAAAACTGAGTGATAAGAAATCACGTAAAGGACACAACAATATGCTATAAAGAAGTAGAGTAAAACCAAATAAACGCAATAAAATAGTGAAATCTTATAAAACACCTTGATTCAGAATAAGCTTCTTTAAAATACCTTTTCAACAGTTAAACAAGTGAATGAAAAGCAACTAGAAAAGATAAACACATAAAAATCAGCCCCTCGGGCAATAACATGGGACAACACCAGCCCCTCGGGCTATACCTCATATCACAATGGGTACCCGCGCTCACTGGTGGTGTACAGACTCCGGGAGGGGCACCTTACGCCAAGCGCAATATCAAGTCATCTCGTGGTATAATCAATAGGCTCTCAGCCTCATATCAATAAGCCACCTCGTGGCGTACAATCTCAGGCCCTCGGCCTCATAATCATAAATCAGTGTATATCTGCTACGACGTGCAGCCCGACCTAAAAGTATCCTCACAACACAGGCCCTCGACCTTACACAGTCAGAAATCTCTAAAAGCCACTCAAGCACAGTAAAATATGATGCTCAACCCAAAATATCATTTAAAGTATTAAAACAGAGTAAACATGACTGAGTTATGAAAACAATATAATATAGCATGACTAAGTACAGATATAAAATCAAAACAATGAGGAAATAGTAGTAAAAATCCCCTAAGGGTCCAAATAGTTGGCACGAGGCCAAATATGGCATTCAGCCCAAAACATGATGATAACAAATAATTTTCAATTAAATACGCGGTAAAACAGTCATTCAGGATGGACTAAGTCACAATCCCCAACGGTGCACGACCCCACGCTCGTCATTTAGTGTTTGCGTCACCTCAATATAGTACAACGATGTGAAATTTGGGGTTTCATACCCTCAGGAAAATATTTATAATCATTATTCACCTCGATTCGGTCCAAACTCTAGCCCGCGATGCCTTTGCCCCTCGAATCGGCCCAACTCGTGTCGAATCTATCCAAAATCAAAATCATGACGTCAAAATATGCTAAGGGAACGAAGCCCATGCGAAAATAATCAATGTACAACATAAATCCCGAAATTAACCAAAACTCGACCCCCGGGCCCACGTCTCGGAATTCGATAAAATTTACATCAATTGATTCCTTATCTCTCCACGAATTCATACATACCAAAAGTCCCAAAATCCGACCACAAATGCCCCTTCAAATCCTCAAGTCAAGGACTCCAATACCAAGCCCTACTTTTCCAAATTTCAATCCTTAATTTCCATAAATTACAAGCCTAATCCGTAAAATAATGCCATAAGATCGATTATTAGGTTAAAAAATCTTACCTCCAAACTTTATTCCTTGAATCCCTCTTCAAAATAGCTTCCCCAAGCTCAAACATGAATAAACCTTTTATACCTTCTGGTCTTGGCTTCTAGCACCTGTGGTCCAAATCTTGCTTCTATGGTCCAAGACGTCGCATCTGCGATCCTCACTTAAATCCCAAGATCCGCATATGCGATGCAAATCCCACACCTGCGCTACCACAGGTGCGCCTACCTAGCCACGTTTGTGGCTCCAGCTCTCCTTGGCCCCTTCCGCTTCTACGACTCTTTTCCGCATCTGTGAGGGTCGCACCTGCGGCCTCCCAACTGCAGATGCGGTTACGACATCAGTCCTACCACTTCAGCTGCCATTTCCAAATTCCTATCTTTCTATCAACCATCCGAAATCACCCCGAGTCCTCCGGGACCTCAACCAAAAGCACAAACGAGTCACATACCACCATCCAAACTTATACCAATCTTGAAAACACCTCAAAAAATATCGAATCAACCAAAACACATCGAATTCAAGCCTAAAGTTCCAAAAATCTTTCGAATTACACTTTTGATCAAAAAATCTATCAAACCACATCCGAATGACCTAAAATTTTGCACACATATCCCAAATGACACAACAGACCTACTGCAACTTCCGGAATTCCATTCCGACCCCTATATCAAAATATCACCTATCAACCGAAAACGCCAAATTTCCAATTTCGTCAATTCAAGCCTAAATCTACTCCGGACCTCCAAAACACGTTCCGATCATACTCCTAAGTTCCAAATCACCTCCCAAAGTTATTCGAACCATCAGAATTCATATCCAAGCCCTCTAACACATAAGTTAACATCCGGTTGGCCTTTTCAACTTAAGCTTCCTCAAAAGAGACTAAGTGTCTCAAACCTTATCAAAACCTTTCCGAACCCGAGCCAACCAACCTGATCATACATAGAACCAATAAATAAAGCAATAAAAAGTAGAAATGGGGAAAACGGAGCGGTAACTCATGAAATGACCGGCCGGTTCGTTACACATTTAGATGATTGTTGTATTATTATTATTATTATTATATATGATTTCTCTCATTAATTAATTTTCTTTCTTTCTTCATATAAATGTCACACCTCCTTTTTCCCGAGGGGATAGAGAGTTTTTCCAATAAAAGAGACATTAATTGAAATGATATTATTTATTTTGATTCAAAATCGCCACTTGGGATATTTATGGTGTCCCAAGTTACCGGTTTATTTAAAATCCCAAATCGAGGAAATAAAAGACTCTATTTTGGTCCGCGAACACGGAAGATGGGGTAAAAAATTCTGGTAACCCGTGAGAAGGCGTGAGGCACTCCCGAATTTCGTGATTTTAGCACGGTCGCTCAACTATTAATAATTGACCTAATTATCTTATTTAATACATATTCGAAACATTTTGTGTATTTTTTTTACTTTTAAATCTCTTTTAATATTTATGGAATTTATTTGAACAAGTTGCGATGTTGCGCACTCGTTTATTTTTGTACATATTGCGAATCACGCCACGTGAAATGCACCCGCGGTTTACAATGTGTTTATTATTATTAGTATTCGAAATTGTGGTCGAGTCACATGAAACGCACACTCGAGTTGGGGTGTAGGTATCATGACTATGCCACGATAACCGTACCCATAGTCATGATGATTTATTTTACGCGCCTAAAGCACATTCCGGGTGTTTATAAGTTGTGTAGTCCCTAATTTGGAAATTGTGTGTGAAAAGACCCGTGATTATGGAGTACTTTTATTAAAAGAGATTTCATGCTCATTCCCTTTAAAACTTTTATTTCATGCATTTGACCAAGCCCAATCTTAAAACATGAGAACTATTAATTACTAATGGGCTTTGGTCATTCCCCACTCCCATGAACTACAATCATTCAAACAATTTCAATAAGGCGAGGTAAAATGGACAATCAAGCAAAATGCTAAAGCAGTAGACTAATAACAAAGCTAATAGCAAGATAAAAATAAAGAAAGATAGTGTGTTTGAAATATTATAAAAGCCACCTAACACTCCATCAATCCCATTCACAATAACATCCAAATGAAAAGGCTACTAATCTAAATGAAAAAACCCATTTCCAATTCTTTAGGTAATAGACAACCAACTAGCAGAATCAATGACGACAGAAATTGACCAACGAAGATAACACATAATTTCACATGCTCAAAACTGAATCATACAGATTCCATTGATAGAAAGTGAAAACTACATAGTTTAGTGGGGTGAATAATACCTTGAAAGCAGTAACAAGTCCTTAAAATTGCCAAATAATTACTGAAAAATGCTACAATTTGGGAATTCAGCTACCAGTTGACATGGATCAGCCACACATCAACGATAAACTCAGTTAGATCAACTTAGAAACCCAAAAATGCCGGATGAATATGGGGTTTTTGAAACCACTGATCTAGACTAATATTTTTAGGCTATTTGGAGCACTTTTTTAACTGCTGTTTTTGTGTATTTTTCATAGCTTAAGACGTCAGATCTCAACAATGAACTTCAAGTGGATAAAATGAGTTTATGAGTGTATTATGTGAGAATGAGGGAGTGAATGGGTGAGATGGAGAAGGAAGCGGGTAGGGTTTTCAGAAGGGGGGCCGGTTCTGTCTCTTCTCGGCGACGGTTGGAAGGTTGAAAAAGGAGAGGAAAAGGCTCTAGTTTTTTTTATGAGTGAGGGGGGCATGTTCAATTGTAGAGCCAAACAACCTTGTTTTCTTTTCCGTGTATTTCAAAATTAAACCATTGATTAAAACACCCAATTTCAAATTGATTTTGCAAAAATGACCTATTTAACCAATTGAATATATAAAAATGTAAAACAAAGCAAGAGGGGTTAATGTGTATTTTTTCCATGTATTAATTATGTAATTAATCTGCGATTAAATCCTAAACATGCAACTAAAATCTAAAAATGCAACAAGTGAAAAATAAAAATATTTTAATGATTTATTAGGATTCTAAAATATTTCTAAATATGCATGAACATTGCAAATAAATGCAAGAAAAAATCTTAAAATTTTATGAAATAATTAAAAACTATTTTGGAATATTTTTAGGAGTAATTTTATAAATTGGGCAAAAATTACGTGCTCACAATAAATAAATATTTAGACCATCATGTGTCATTATTAACATGCAGCACACGTTTATAGATACTAGTATATTAAAATACACCATTAGTGTAAAAAATACTATAAGTTAATATAAAATAAATACTTAATATAATAATCATTAACTATTTGAAAGAGTTAGAATTCTCCCTTACATACTAGTTGAAAGAGTTAAGAATCCTCACTTACCTAGCATTTGAAAAATGCCCAGAAACTTAAAAAATATTCTTGTGGATGGTAAAAATATCCAGTAAAATAGATTCATACGCTGTTAAAATTTAATTGTAATAAATGAAACAAATGCCAGAATCAATGAGCAACATGTAAAGAAAAGCAACAACATATCTCGTTCGATTGGTGCACCGCGATATGTGAAAATATAAATAGTGATGATGCATATAACCCCATCGCAACTTATTCGACAAAACTTATTTTAGATTGAAGTCTTAAACCGAAGCTACCGTTAGAATGATTACACTTGGTCCGGACCAAATTTTGATTACTATAATCTTTAAATTACACCAAGTCACCAACTGTGTCAGTCAAAACAGTATTTTTAAAGTCGATAATTTCTCAGTTCTCTCTTTAGGCAAATGATATATCAATGCATGGATGACGAGTGCCATCTGAGTTATTCTGCATAATGGTAGAGGCAAAGTTTAGACTCGCGTCCTGGTTTGTTCTTTGGTTAGTCTTCCTTTTGACCTTCTTTATATTCTAGGTCGCCTTGCAAATAATTTAGGCTAGGGTGGCAACCATATGTTGGAAAGACGACTAGGGAGTGGAGAGCCTATGTCTAAAAATAAAGTCAGCTAGGGAGTGAAGACCCTATGTTGGAAAAATGACTAGGGGTGGAGACCCAAAATAAAATCAACTAGGACGTGGAGACCCTTTGTTGGAAAAATAGACTAAGGAGTCGAGACCCTATGTCTAAAAAAGCATCAACTAGGGAGTGGAGACCCTATGTTGGAAAAGAAGATCAGGCAGTGGAGACCCTATATCTAAAAATAAAACAAAGTCAACTAGGGAGTGGAGACCCTATGTTGGAAAAACAGACTAGGGAGCGGAGACCCTATATCTAAAAATAAAATATGTAGCCAACTAGTGAGTAGAGACCTTATGTTGGAAAGGCGACTAGGGAGTGGAGAACCTATGTCTAAAAATAAAGTCAACTAGGGAGTGGAGAACTTATGTCTAAAAATAAAATCAACTAGGGAGTGGAGACCCTATGTTGGAAAAGAGACTAAGGAGTGGAGACCCTATATCTAAAGTAAACATCAACTAGGGAGTGGATACCTTATGTTGGAAAATAGATAGGGGGTGGAGATCACATGTCTAAAGCAAATATCAACTAGGGATTGGAGATCCTATTTTGGAAAAACAACTAGGGAGTGGAGACCTTATGTCTAAAATAAAATCAACTAGGGAGTGGAGACCTTATGTCTAAAATAAAATCAACTAGGGAGTAGAGACCCTATGTTGAAAAAAAGACTAGAGAGTGGAGACCTATGATTAAAATAAAATCAACTAGGGATTGGAAACCCTATGTTAGAAAATCTACTAGGGAGTGGAGACCCTATGTTTAAAATAAACATCTACTAGGGATTGGAGACTATATGTTGGAAAAACGACTAGGGAGTGGAAATCCTATGTCTAAAATAAAATCAACTAGGGATTGGAGATCCTATGTTGGAAAAGAAACTTGGGAGTGGAGACCCTTTGTCTAAAATAAACATCAGCTAGGGAGTGAAAACCCTATGTCTAAAATAAAAGCAATTAGGGACTGGAGACCCTATGTTGGAAAATGCAGCTAAGGATTGGAGACCCTATACTGCCATGATTTTAAAATTTTCTTTTCTTTTTATTAAGAGAATGAGTAAAATGCTCGAAAGAATTTGGAGAAGACTTTCCTTTTTGGAGTTGTTGTTGTGGCAGAGCTGTTTCTAGCCCTTGCACAATTTCTTTTTGGTTGCACCTGCTTCTTGCAAGGTTGCTTTTGGATTGCACCTGTTTCCTGTTTTTTCAAACAAGGAACAATTTGTCAGTTTGAAACAATGGTTGGATTTGTGGCCTTGATTGTTTTAGTCATATGATCTCGGCCCTTTCAACTGCAACTAGTTGTTTCCTGAATACCGATTGCATTTCTGACCCTGGAGAATCTCTAGTTTTTCCAGACTTTGCTGTGACAGTTGGTCACGTGGGACTCAACCTTTTTTCGACTTTATTTTTCCTTTGTAGGCCTTTCACTTCTGACTTGATTTTTCTTTTAATTTTTAACTTCGGAGCATTGGGAAACTTTTGTATTTTCAAACTTTGCCAAGACGGTTAGCCATGTGGGACTCAACCTTTTCAAATTCATTTGCCCTTATAGGCATTTCAATGTGATTTTCTCCTTCCAAGAGTTATGATTTTGAAGCATCGACCGCCAAGGCTAGTCGGGTTGACTTGATCCCCCTGTCGAGGTTGGATGCCTTTTTGCATATTAGCTTGTATCAAATGAAAACCCCGTAAATCCGTCTTACCATCCTTTCTTTGTCCTAGTTTTAAAACAGAGTTAGACTGAAAGGGATTCAAAGAAAAACAAATAATGCAATGGACAATGAATTTAGACAAAAGGTATCCCTTTCGAGGAAATGAAAGAAAGACTTATCTGGAATGCATGCGAACTTCAATGAACATGACATGCCTCTTGGACTGGATGAATGACTCGTGTAAACCATCCAACTCTCATAAATTCATTACATCTTTTACCTCAAAATCAAGAAACCTTGCCAGGACTCTATCGATGTCGATGGCTGTGAGGATCTTCTTTTTGATTAGTGGCGCCCTTTGTGGGTTTTCACCAGTGGATCTCTCTTATTTCTTTTCTCACCATCAACTTATAGTGCTCTTTGTGAGTTTTCACTAACAAAGCTCTCTCATTTTCAATTTCTCTGCTTACCATCGCCTAACAGTGACGGTTTTTACCGATAAGACTCTCTCATTTTATTTCTCTTATTTGGTTGCATCAGATCCAAGTAATTGTATCTTCCAATTTGAACCTCTTTATCGATTGATCGGAAGGACTTGAACAATTTTGGGATAAAAGCATTTGGATTGAATTAAAACTTTGGAACCTTTCAGGCGAAACCATCACCGAACCATTCTAACATCTGCCCCAATTTCACTTTTGGGGGAATTTGGATTTTTGTTTTGGTGTGACTAAAATCTAGAGAGACTGCCTACATATCCTTTCGGAATCAAGTCGAATGTAGTTCAAGGAACTTTTTTTCCTCATTTTGTTTTGTTTTGTTTTCTTCTTTTTATTTTTTTGTTTCTTCTTTTGTCTTCTTTGTTTTTTTTTGTTTTGTTTTTTTAATAACACTTTCAGATTCCTAGGAGGGTAATCAAAGGAAGGTAACCGACTCAAATGGTTGGGAAAAGGGTTAATAGTGTTTGGATAGCGAGAAAGAAAGTCTTCTTCATCCCAACCGGAGAACATTAATGTTGTATAGACGATCAAATATAGTACCTTTTGATTGCACCTGCATTGACAGTTGTTTCAGGAACATTTCCTTCGATGTTTCCCAGGTACAACGCTCTCTTTTGGCAGTACTCTCGTTACCATGTATGGATCTTTCCAATCTGGATCCAATTTTCTTTTAGCTGTTCTGATTCTTTGTTTTATTTCCTTAAACTTATCTTCATTGCATTCTGACTATTGATTCATTATTTCGAAGTCTGACAACGTTTTAGGATCTGGGCATGAAGTCCGCAAGCATGTCATTTTATTGAAATCTGCATTTAACAGAACTAAAAAGAGAATAAGAAAAGTGACAATAAGAAAAGAGACATTCCTGGGCAATAAATTATTAATTTTATTTGGTTTATTTTTTTTTTGTTTTTTTCTTTTGAATTTTTAAGATAGAAGGGTTTACATCGGAAAGTAAGACAATAAAGTAAAACATATGGATCACACCTTGAGATAATCCGGACGCAGAAAGGATAACAAGACTGGCTGTCGAAACTCCCGTCTGATGGGGAATATTCAAGCTTAGCGACCGTTTTTTGGCTTTTCTTCTGTCTCAGCAATTGCCGCAATGACCTTCAGTGCCGGATCAGATTCCTCATCTTCATAAATTATTCCGACTATTGGCCCGATGCTGTGAGCAGGAACGGATTGTTTATCACATGAGGAGCTTCTTCGTCTCGAAGAACGATTCTTTTAGCTTCAATCAAGTCTTCAACTGCCATTTTGAGGGTTTAACAGTCCTCCGTATTGTCCCACTTCTCCAGAGTGGTATTCATATATAGCATTAGCTCGGTGCGAGGGGGGATTGTACTGGGGAACATTTGATTGGGGATTATATGGAGCTTGGTAAGGATGGACATTTCTGGGAGGTGGAGCTCGGTTTTGTCTATAATGTTGTTGCCGCGTGTAAGGTGGCACGTTCATCACTGCACAGGGAGGCAGTGCTAGGCATAAGCAACATCTTGAGGGGGATAATAGTGTTGAGGGACCTTAGGAAGCATATATAATTGGTTGAATGCCCTATGGGCCCTCCTCGAGCTAGAAGTAATCATGACTCCCTCTTCTCTCATGTTTCTGTT